TGACCTCATCTTAATTTGATTACATCTGCAAAGACCCTATTTCCAAATAAGGCCACATTCACAGTGTGCAGCTGGACATGAATTTTGGAGGGACACTATTCTACCTAGACCCACCACCACCTCTACAGTAGTTGAGTTGATTCTGAGTGCCCCTACAGGTCTGAGTGGCACTGCTCCCTATAGTTTCCAAGACTGCAAATCTTTACGGGAGCAGACATTCCCATCTTTCCCCATTGTACAGTGACTGGTAGGTTTGAACTACTGACCTTGTGGATAGCAGTCCAACACTGAACCCACTGTGTAATCAGGGCTCCTTTTGATCCAATACAGGTGGGTACAATAATTGTAGCATAGAAGTGATAAAATTCCCACTTATATCATGAAAGCTTTATAAAAATCTTAACTGTAAAACTCTCATGGATAAGTCAACTTGCAGAAGCCAACCGGGTGACGGAATGAGGTGATGCTGTGTAAGATTACTACTTGAAAAGCCAACTGAATGTGGGGGCTGCCTTCCACAAATAATCACTCTGGTTTTAGAACAATTGCACTGCAACTCCTTTCTTTCATTTGGATCTTATTTAGATATTAGTTTGAGTCTAATTGTCTATCTTAGACTCTCCTAGTCTTAAAAAGAAGTCCTTGTGGCGCTGTGGTTTAATAGGCTGGACTGCAAAGTTGGTTTGATTCGCAAGGTCGGCAGTTCAAGCTCACCAAATGCTCCTAGGAAATCCTAGTCAGGGTCGCTATGGATTGGAACCAACTCAACGACACTTAGCAATAACAATAACAAGTCTTAAGAAGAACTCGGTGACTCCATACAATAAGCACTGGACTGGAAATCACAAGGTCCACAGTTCAAACCCAACGGCTACTCAGCAGGAGAAAGATAAGGCTTTTGCTCCCCTGAAGACTTAAAAGCCTCTGAAACCTTATACAGGGTCACTATGATTAGAACGGACTCAATGGCCCTTAGCAACAACAGCAAAAACAATAAGTCTTAAGGAGTTCTGGTGTGACACTGTACGATAAACACTGGACTGTTAACTACAAGGTCAGTGGTTCAAACTCACCAGCCACTCCTCAGAAACCCTATACAGGGTCCACATAGACTTCTAGTATGACACTGTAGGGTAAGCACTGGACTGTTAAACAAAAGGTTGGTGGTTCAAACCCACTAGCCACTCTTTGGAAGGGTTGCTATGAGTCGGAATCAACTCGGTGGCACATAACATGAATCTTTGTAAAAATTAAACTATGCACATATAAGAAAGCTTTTCTAATCATTTTCTGGGTAGTGTGCAAGGAAGAGATGGCTTATGTAAAAGTGGTACCAAGTCTGCACAAAACAACTGATACAGTGAAAGAGGTAGGGACAAGAGGCAGAAGAGAGAATGTGCCAGCAGCAATAGAATCATAAATCAAGAAATGATTCTGAAGCTAGGCAGCCAATTTTGAGTTCCAGCTTCGTAATACTCACTAACTGTGTGACTCTAGGCAAATTGCATAGCCTTGCTATGCCTGAGTTTCTTCATCCATAACATGTAGATAAAAGAGTAACTTAACTCCTATGTCCTGTGAGTGTTCAATGAATTAAAGTGTGTCTGGCACATTGTTGCGCTTGCTGTCGTTGGATGATATCAAGTTGGTTGTAACTCATGACAACCGTAGGCAGTTCTGTGTCTTCTTCCTGATTATTGGATGTTTGAATCCATTTTGTCACCCCATCTCACTGAGAGTTCCCTTTGATTTTGCTGGTCCTTGACTTTACCAAACATGGTATAATTTTCGAGTGATTGGTTTTTCTTAATGATGTGTCCAATTGAAGAAGTCTTGTCATCCTTACTTCTTAGAAACGTTCTGGTTGTATTTCTTCCAAGACCGATTTGTATGTTCTTTTACCAGTTCACTATATATTCATATTTTTTGCCAGCATCACAATTTGAACACATCATTTCTTCTGTTTTCCATTTTCAGTATCCAACTATCACATACATATGAGGCCACAGGAAAGACCATGGCTTGGATCTGATGCATCTTAGTCATCAAAGTGATATACATATATATATATAT